AATACGACTATTTGTTTTGTCACCTAATAACTAATCTGTTATTCTACATAAAAAGTGTATCCTCCTCACAACTGGCCATTATTGTAACGATGAGAAATGTTATATTTTATAATTTTTAGATTTGTTGAATGCAGCTACAGTTTTTAATACTGCATCACTGTGTGATATTTAAAATAAACTTCTCCCATATATTTCGGGACTAGGATCATAGCTAGAGATCGTCCATGAAAAGCTTAATGTAACACGACAGTATGCTAAGTGGCGTGGATACTTGATATCGAACCTTCAGCTTAAAGAGTTGACCAAAACAGCGTAAGCTGGCACCGAGTGTTGAGTGGTGAATACTGTAGGCTAATAAATTCGAGGAATAAAACTTGGGCACTGTGGTAGAGTGTAACTCCATTATAGATAAGATTTTATTTTCATAAATCACACAGTGTTACACAGTAATATTTACTGATGACGTTTCGAGCATAATTTATTGCTCATAATCATATCAAGTTACTCACACAACTTTTTCCTTCATTTATATACATGAGTGGGATTGACTAGATATTTGAATAAAAATCAATATGAGATAATGTACATGTAGAGATAATAATATGAGTGTTATTGATCAAATACAATTAGATAGGAAATAAGAGGGATATTCTCTAAATGTACATTATCTCATATTGATTTTTATTCAAATATCTAGTCAATTCCAAACATGTATATAAATGAAGGAAAAAGTTGTGTGAGTTACTTGATATGATTATGAGCAGTAATAGTTTGTGCTCGAAACATCACCAGTTAATATTACTGTATAACACCACTGTGTGATTTATCAAAATAAAATCTTATCCGTAATGAAATGTGAGGAATTATTGACGGCAACAGTAGCTTATTCAGTGGGCAGATTGTCACTGATACTGTTGTGTTAGTTTTGCCGGGATTCGTTTGATTTCAAGTTTGGTCATGAACTGAATTCAGTTAGAGGACCTTTGAAAACCACCAGGAGGTACTGGGAAGCGTCTTCATCCTTGTCTGGGACTCTCCTGTAGTACGTTGTCATTGACCCACCAAAGATTACACTCAGGACCTTCAGATTACAAGGCGAGGTCGTATACCTTTCAGCCGATGGGATAATATACACTGACCAATTAATTATAATTCTAGTTATCAGTGTACTGAGTGCTGAATGTAGGTAAAGTGAAAACCTTGCCCCGATCCAGATTTTTGTTTCACCGAACAAATATATAAACAGTTATACTTATATGTATAGTCTGATAAATCCAGTATTCAGCCTCTTAATTTTCTTCCCACCTTGGGAATGCCCAGCTCTAATCATTTTAAAATAAAGTTTGATTATTTTTAGTATTCTCTTGGATTCCGACTCAAACATGAGTCTTTAGCAGCATACATCTCCACTTCACTCTGTTTTACTATGGTCCATTTTAGCTGACTTCACGATTACCCATAAGCTTTCGTTCCCTCATCCACGCCCAATTCGTCTTTTCCCAGTCGGGTTACACTCGAGGGCATGGCGTAGCGGGTGTGTGTGGTGTCATTCGGCAGTCTCCTCAACTTGTATCCGATCTATCCTTATTTCCCTCGGATTGATGTTAGTCACCCAGATTAGTTCAACACACGATATTAAATGACCGATAACCCGAACATTATCCTCATGCTAAGAATGCAAGATTTATTCTTTCAGGAAACAGGCTGAATGACCGGAGATTATAGTTACTTATGTAGTCAGTTGACATGACCAATAAACGACAAGTTTATTATATGCAAACTGTGTTCCTATTGGTTAGCGGTGTGCCAATAAAAATTCAATGATACAACCTTGGATACTGATTGGCTGGGATGAAAATATTCCGTTATAGATAACGCGTGGTTATTTCTCTTTGCAAATGATATAAGTACAGCCTGATAACTAAGGCTAAAGGAAGGGGAGTGTTTGTGATTTACTTATTCGGTTATTTGCGAAGGTTAGTTTAGTCCTGATTACAAATTTTGAGTTACATATTTACTGAGCTCCCTGGAATTGCTGTAGGAATTAAAATGTGTTAACATTAGACTATTGCTTGACGGTCAGTCTATCTTAGTGTTACTCAAATGTTGTCCGGTGTTTGTAGAGTGTTGAGTAAGAAGGGTAAATCAATCGATAAGGTTGTGACACGACATCGATTGAGGATGGCTAAGACACGCGTATTGCACATTCCGGGTCATCTCTTTCTTCTCTGAGCAGTATTAGCCGACATAGGATTGGGTAATTCTATATTAGATAAGTTTATTTAAAATATCACACAATAGTGATGCAGTATTAACAACTGTATGGAAATTTTTTTGTTTATAATCATATCAGTTTAGTCACACAGTTTCACAATTTTTCTTGCATATGTTTTCTCTCGTTTTGTCTCTCCAACTTCTCGTTGTTTGTTGCCACTTTCCATGTCTCCGATGTAGGCATTTCGTCATTACGATTGCACGTTTGCTGTGTTGAATCGATAAACAAAGCTTCAGTGATTAACCCATCTCTTTCTACACCTAACTACATTACTTTTTAATACTCCCACCCTGTCCCACTCTACTCTGTGATTACATGCAAGTGTATGCAGTGCAATGGCTGAGCTCTTATATTCTAGGTCGTTTAACTTAGCAGTGTCAGTCATTCTGGGTCTGGCTAAATTTTTACGTTCCAATAATCTAGTTGACCCTGCTTTACTAGTTTGACTTATGTAATTGACCTCACAGTCAGCGTTACATGATATTTGGCAAATTGTATTATTTTTCTTAATTGGATCTATTGGGTCCTCAAGCTGACGAAATTTATCTTTGAGTGGTTTGGTTTGAATGCCACCCTAATTTCAGCCTCATTGAGCATCCAACATAGGGCCTCTGACATTCCTTCTCTATATGGCAGTACTATTGAAGCTTTGAATTATTTTCGTCGTTTTTATTGCTAATCTTAGTTTTTCTATGGTTCCTCATATATTTCTGAATAATTTCTGGTGGGTATTTACTAATTCACTAGTAATATTTCCTTTATTTGTTTGATTCCATTATTTAAATCTTCTGGCTTACTAGTTAGGCTCTTGGGCCGATTATACAGACATTTTACTTAACCTATCTATACTGATTCTGGATGGGATGAATTAACGTCTAAGTATATATCACAGTGTGTCGGTTTTCTATAAATTCAAGTATCCAACCCACCATTCTACAGTCTAGCATGGCTAGCTTACTCTGTTCGTCTTCTAACTGAGAAGTGAATTGGATTCCGTCTACTATTAAGTATATATGTGTGAAAAAATGAGAGATATGTTCAGAAAAATTCAACACAGTAAATGTGTCATTCACATATCTCCTCCATAACCTAGCAGTAGGATTATACGTTCTAAGTGCTTTGTTGCCAACTACACCATAAATATGTCTGCCACATTTGGGGATATTGGTGATCTCATTGTCGTCACACTCGTATTTTAATAATAATAATAATAATAAAAATAGCTTTATTCCAAACAGTATTTGTGGTACAGGTATGGAATTTTCAGCGTTCATTACAATATTGCATCTAATTATCTCATAAATTTAATAAGATTTTAAAAATAAAAGGCAACAACAACCAAAAGAAAAAAAGAAAAATAAAAGAAATAAAAAAGAACAGTATTGCATTCACATATTTAAACAATGCACCACAGGATATGAAATATAAAATTAGTGTGTAATAGAATATGTGAGCAACAGTATAATAGTAACAAAGAAAGGAGAACAAGAGCTAATGGGAACTATTTGTTAGAGTGCCGCAGTAAGTTAATCGTGTCGTACCTAACGGATTTCTCATCACATAACAGCTGTGCCAGATAAGGTATTGTGGAGTTTTTGTACTTGGTAGTCCTAGCACATAGCCTCCTATAGTTGCTTCTAGTTCTACCAGATGAAATGCAAGGAAAGAGCTGCATATAGAGAGGATGCTCGGGGTCTGACAATATAGTATTCACTAGTTTCTTACATGACATTATGTGTTTATCCACAATGGTGGTAACCAGTTGGTTTAACGAAATCCCACTTCCCCTACTAACAGCTTTTAGTGCCCTACGCAGCGAAGCAAAGTCTTTCTTAAGTAGTCCAGGGAAGATTAATGGGGAGCAGTAAAGAGGGATGGGTAGAATACAAGAACTGACAAACTGAGAAAGCAAAGACTGCTTTATACCAGACTGCCTTAACTTCCTAACGTAGAACGTTAAGCGAAACATCTTTCTAGTCACTAGCAAGATGTGAGAGGACCAGGAAAGATCGGAGGAAATACTCAGTCCAAGGTACTTGACATTAGATGTAGTTTCAACCTCTATGAAATTTGAATACAGTGGAGGTTAGAGATAACTGAATACCTAATATTATTTCATCGACCGATGATTGATTAAGAAAAAGCTTGGTCAAACCATAGCCTGGCATCAATACATGAAGTCTTCAGCTGTTGCTTTGAGCCACGTGAGCAGATGTAGTCCACCTGCTGGAGGTAGTCCAGACGCTAAGACCCAATGGATGTAGAATATCGATGACTGCTCAAAATCTTTCTCGTTAAGGCCGAAGCACTGACCCTTTTCGATCTACAAAACCCATTAAATTCCACAAAAGTACAACAGTCCAACTAGTCACTCCTCATAAAGCGTGTATAAAAGCGGAGAGTTGATGCATAGAAACCGCCAAGCCCGTAAATTTATGGAAGAAATAATAACTTCATGCAGAATTATTTGAATTTAACGGGTCTTAGAGATCACAAAGAGTCAATATACACCTGCTACAATAAGAACGATTTTGCACAATGTCACTACCAGCCCCCTCCTACTCATTCTTAGCGTCTCGACAACTTCAAGAAAGGTAGCCTACACTCCTTAAACCAACAGCTCATTACTCTCCTTCACTAACAATTCACCCTAAATTTAATTACTACCGGCCGTAATGTAGATTTTCTGTGTTTCTCTTTTGTTTGCTTTTCTTCTCCTCTAAAGGTGATCGTGGTGAAACGAACCCTGGGAGTTGGTTATGCTGCTGTCGATAATCCTGTCTTCTTCAAAGAAAATACTGATATGCTACTGGGTGATGCTAAAACTATTTGTGATGGTCTGCTAAATGCATTTAAAAAGTAGCACATTCCCCAGTCTATAATGAACAAGAAATTTTCTTCAGTTTATTTCTTTATACTACTGATAATATTCTACTGATTTCTGCTTGTGAATATATATATATACATATATGTCGACTAAATGGCTTTTAGTCTAACTGAAATGGAATATTGCCTTGTTGCCGGTGTTTTTTCACGAATAATAGTTCTGTGTTCAATAAAATTTCAATTTCGCTGAGATGTTTTACACGGTTTCTCTTCTGCTTTTGTTTTTCCCACCATCTATGCTGCTATGGCAGGGATTTATTACAGTGTGTGTGAGGAAACACTTAGTTTTTTTTGCATCTGTTCTTCTGCTGTAGTTCAAATTTAAATTTTCCGCTATGAGAGTTTAGGATGAGAATAAAAGCTGCCGAGGGTGATTTCGTGATTAGTATAGAGAACGCCTGTCTGTCTGTCTGTCTGCAGTCAACATAGAACTTGGTACCGAAGTGCAGCAGTTCGAGTTACCACGTTCCAATAGCGCCCAAAGGTAGATAAGAAGATGAGTGAAGAGAATCAATAGAGTTTTGACAAGTATAAGAGTGAAACAGAATGAGTAATGGTAGAAAGGAATATGAAAGATTACAGAGACTCAATACATCTGTGTAAGCCATTGACAACGATTTTGAGCCATGTCACCTATTGTCTCCAGCCATTGATCCTTAGAGTCCCGAGGGCGGGTCCCAACACGGAAGTTTGCATCTCCCTACCTGACTCAGTTTAACTGTCAGGGATTTCATGGATTGATGAGGCCATGTTTTTGTTTGGCATGGTACCACTTACTCTTTTCCAACCTGCACCTATATCAGCTAGTAATGCCCGTCCGTCGGGGGAGGCGATGGTTAGGCATGCGCAGCACGTGACCTAGCCATCTCAATCTATGTAACATTATAGCCTCTTCGATTGATTTCCCCTCTTTGCCCAACACTCTACGCCTAGCGTCAACATTACTTACCTTGTTATACCACTTCACGCGGGAGATAGAACGCAGACACCTATGATCAAAGACAGCTAATCTTTTCATGTCTTCCGCCCTCAATGGCCAGGTCTCACAGCCATAAAGGAGGATGGACTGAACTGCTGAGCAGTACACACGTCCCTTGGTTGATAGCCGGATGTCACGCCTACGCCACAGATGGTGTAAGTTAGCAAAAGCAGCCCAAGCTTTTTGGATCCGTGCTGAGATTTCGTCACCAATCAATCTGTTGGTGCTGATACAACTTCCCAAATAGGTGAAGTGGTCAACATGTTCTATCACTTCACTCCCTATCACTAAGCTTGGAGTTGACGTAGTCCAGTCAGTCTTGTAGCTGCATCTTACATTTTACAGGGGCGAATCGCATGCCAAACATACGGAGATTGCTGCTCAAGGTGTTCAGAAGACTCTGCATGTTGTCAGCATCCTCCCCTAACAGGACTATGTCGTCTGCATATTCTAAGTCCATAAGACTATTCCCTGGCAAAATATCGATTCCTAAGTCGTTAAGTTCAGTTAAGGAAACTTCCATTAGCATATCTATGAAGTTAAACAGAAAAGGGGAAAGTGGAAATCCTTGACAGACACCACTGGTTGTTATCAATTCAGACGACAATTCCCCATAAGCCCTTACACGGCTACGTGAGTTTGAGTAGAGTGCCTTGATTAGTGCAATATACTTTCTTGGCACTCCCTTCACAGTCAAACATTACCATAGTACCTCTCGATCCACGGAGTCGAAGGCCGCCTTCAAGTCAAGAAATATGGCAATTGTATAGAGAACGCCACAACAGATATTCCACCTGTTGATAAAACACTTTTAAAATAGCTAAGTATTAGACTCGGCATTGTTACAGCATTCCTCAATGCATGTAATAATGCTTGACGAGGTTCCGACAGTATTTGACAGCCTCTGCTCTAACATCTTTTTGATTCCCTTAAGTTCCCAGTGGTACGCAGGGCATCTTAAAGCTAGAACTTTCGGTACCATTGGTATTTACTTTTACGGGATGGGGTTACTAGCCTCATGTCCGACGTTCCCTCTTCACCAGTCTTATTACTGTCATTGCGAGGTAAAGGAATGCCTCTGCCGGGGTCAAATCCCGTACCACAGGTAGCGTGGTTGGGAAGCATTCTACCCCTGTGCAACGACACACCTGCTCTAACTATTCAAGTATATTGAAACGTTGCCCACCTAGTTTCATTTTCAGTAGCTTACAAGCATCCCTGGTATCATAGCTAAAGTTAGTAGTTGATGGAGAAAGATATTCGTTGAATTTGCCTTCAGCTAGACATTGTTGCGTGTCTTTCACATCAGATTGTAACACACTAAATAGAATGGCTTTAATGAAATGCATAACAGACAGCTTGTTGAAAGAGTTATAGATTAAATATTCCCGTTTTGCAGCCTCATCACAATTCGATCAGAGTATTTGGTTCTAGGCTGACAATATATGAGTGTGCATATGCGAATAAAGTAGGATTCACTTTACTACATTAAATAATTAAATTACCATAAAACTCTGCGTATTCGATCATCGCTGTCTTCGCAGGATTGCTTAAGCTCGATGGCATAATCGCGTGAGCAATTCTGAAGTCAGGCGGCGTGTGTTTGAACACAGCGGAGATCACCATTTGTTGAGTGTCGTCAACTGGAAACATCAGCTTTGGTGGCTTAGACATGTGCTGTTAATGTCATCCCAGGGTCTTCCGTACAGGTCTCTGTTCGCTAGCCCTGGGACGAGATGGAAAAGGCGGAGAGGTGGTCAGTTCACGAAGTGACGTCGTGGGATGAAGGATTTTTGTGCTAGATTAGCATCGGTTGGTGCGTCACGACTCCCTGGTTGGAGTGTGAGAGATAGCTCGAATCGATGGGCCGAAACGTTATCGGATATGGCCAAGAATCGTAATCAATGGCGAACGTGCTGCTATTTCCTTCTTTCTTCTCTTTCTGATAATAGTTACTTCCAGATGAAGTTCTTCATCCGTTCTCTGCCTATATTTTTCCTTTTAATCTATTATTATTGTGTCGCGCATCTTTCTTGGTGCCATATTGAATCAAGTTTCTCTGCATTTCACCGGAAATACCCATTGAGTCATAAAGAAAATAAAAGACGGATTCAGCGAAGAAAATTTTCTCTATCGACGAAATCATCTTCAGAGGCTGTACAATCGTATTTATACTTACAAAAATATGTAGTGGTCTATTATTGAGTAATAGGGGGTGACATAATTGATATAATTACTCAGAAGTGGCTTTAGAAGTGAAAATTAGAAGTTGAAAACTACGTGGTACTCAACGGCAAAAAGATAGAAATTTGATAAGGTTAAAATTGATATTAAGTGAGAATAAAGGTATTTGATTGTCAATTTAACAAGTGTGAAGAGGGTGTGAAAATATACAAAAGGAGCATATGAGAGTGATAATAGTGAATTAATTATTAAAGCAAAAGCTAACTAAAAGTGAAAGTAGAATGAAAAGAAAAAATCAAAAAACATTTTATTTACAAGGAACGATTAGTGAAGAGGTTAAGACCAAGGTAGAATAAGAGACTGGACAAACTTTTTCTGTATACAGAGTTCAGGGTTGTATTGGTGAATTGCTAGAGCCTCCGCCATACACAAAAGCCGAAACCTGACGCCCTTTGTACCATTTGGCTTCACTTTGTAGATGATCTTGAAAGACGATTCTGGTGGAGCTACGTGGCCTGAGTTCACCAAATGCTCGAGAATTGAGCTAGTAATTGTCTTACATTGTCCCTTTGCTAACCATGCCGGATAATGCTCAGAGATGCGTTTGGAAAGCGTGCGCTTTGTGCGGCCATTTAAATAAATAACAAATAAAGTAACAGCAGTAAATTATTGTCAGGAAGGTCCCCCAACTTGCCAATGAACGGGACTAAGTGGATTTGTGCCTAGGTGGAGTGACTCTGAGTGCAAACAAGCACCACAAAGGAATACCGAATACGGTTACCGCACATCATAACCTTCTTATCCACAGCGGCACCAAAATATCAGAAGATACAGACTTGGCTGTAGATACATAGACAGTTTCCTTAAACAAGATGCATTATGTGTACACGCACTTAACACAAAATCACACTAGACTAATGACTAAGCAACCTATTCTACTTGGTTGTATTGTAACAACAGAAGACAAGGGCCAAGCAACAGATCCTTTATTAAGGAAAATCAAGACATATTTATAGATTTTAATGCACATTATTGTAGATTATTGTTAGTAGAAAATACATTCTTTTGATTGGTTGTTTCTCACAGAAAGTTAACCTTGCATCTCTTTGTGGCTGTGTCAGATCATCCATATGCTAACTGTTTCCGCCTACGCAAAGCCTTTGTTCTCATTTTCTCACCACCAATATTGGGGACATAAACATTGACGTCAATTGCTGTCTACCAACTTTGGCTAGCAGCCAGCTCTCACCACAGTATTATTCTAGGAATCATCCAATAAACTTACCTTGTCCATAAAATATGTCCATATATGAATCTAATTTTGAAACACAGAAGAATACAACAACTAATCACCATTTCCATAAATTTTGTTCGCCTTAATTAACTTTGACACCACAATTTTCTCCATTCCACTTAATTCTTGATTTTGATGGTGACTTTAAAGCATCCTAAATGTCTGTGTAGGGAAGAAAAGTCTGGCTGCATCAGTAGCTCTAGTATTTTGAGGTGGATTACTGGTCTTCTGCAAAACATGCGACTAGCAAATATAACCGCAGGAAAAGCGCTTGTATCTATTAGGTCAGTATTGAACAGCATTCATGAGCCACTCGACAAAATCAAGAATGCTGTTTCAACCTCGGCCTGAAGACGCTTAGTACTTGAAGAACTTGACATATTTTGAAGTGATTTAGGTAATTGGGGCCTAAAGCTGACGATATTAAAACAACTTCGCATTGGGAAGACAGCTTCATCCAGAAATTCATGTCGAATTACCACCTAAAAACTGCTGTTAATACCATCAGGAGTTACTTCCA